TTTCGTTTGACGACATTTTCGCTCTACAGCGATTTTGCTGGAACGAATTAACGTCGTCAAGCGAGGCATCACTGTATTTTTGATACCCTAGAGGCCCCTATATCACAAAGGAAAAATAATGTATACAGTATCTTTGGGAAAAATGTATTTGCCCCAAGAATTTTGTTTTCCACTGGAAGATTCTAGAAACAGCACTTTTGCTCTGAAACAGAATGCAATGCTCCCAAAATACCCTCAAACCCCTCAAAACAGAAAAACAAAACAAAACTGCAGGCTGAATTCTGAAAACAGCTCCTCCCACATTTTTCAGACCTAGTGCTGCTGCCAGGTACAGAGAGCAAAAAAACTGGCCTCCACCCCCAACCAAGATGCCCATCCAAGTCTGAAGTAACAAGTTCGTAAGTGCACTTAACCCTTTCCCTGTGTGAGAGAACTGTCTGTCCTCATTTTGCCTCTAAAAAGATCTCCACATACATTGCTTCTCAAGCCTCACATATTATCAAATTCCCATGTACATATTTAGTGATCTACTTTCAACACAACCAGCACTGCAGACTTTCTTCACAAATTCTAATAGCAAAAACACTGTTAGCTGTTCTATGGCAACATATCTATGCAAACTCCAAAATCAAGGCAGATTTGTATTTGTTTTAATTGGAACAAATACATAAATGAAGAACTTCCAAAAATCTTACAGGTGCCTAGCAAATGTTTCCTAGGACAGAAGCAGGCAAGACATAGCAAAAATTTGCTACTGTCCACACAAATTAGTTGCAGAAAACTAGCAACTTGCATTGCACTTACCTGTGATATTCGTGGCTGGATAGTGCCATCAGCATACATGGTGCTGCCCTGTGGTTGGCCCTCTAGCCAGGTAATTTTCAGAGGATTATTTATCAGGCCAACTTCATTCTTTATTGCCATCTCCTAAAAATTAAAAAATGGCCTGCCGTTATAATTGCGCTCATTTCATAGTTCTCTGCCTCCTTTATCAAACTCCAGAAAATAGAACAGATATAGGATAGGAAATCTGAAAATTCTCTGGTCCACATATATGGAGGACCTCTTTCCAAACTCCCAGAATAGTTCATCTCATTTTTCTTTTTTTTTAATGCACTTGCTCTCATTCTCGATGTCTGTATCTTCCTGTCTCTCTTGGGGTGCTCTCTGTCAAGGGACAGAGAGCATCATACTCCAGGAAAGAACTTAAAGGACATAGAACAGGATCAAATTAAAGTTTCTCAGAACAAATAAGGTTATGGGGAAATATACTACAAAGCAAAGAGAAATGTAAAGCCATCAGATGATCTGAAAGGCAGACAATTCCTCTGCAACTTCAATAAAGTTTCTCCCTACATCTAAAGCTCACAATAATATACAGTAAAGCCAAATTAACCTGAGTTTCATCAAAGGAAAACCCAGGTTAATCAAGCTGCAACATTTTAGGATTTACTGCCAATTACCCTGCCAGGAATAGTCATACAGCAATATCAAAATCGTCTTATGTGGTTATACAACCATTATAAACATATATATATGCAACAAAAATATATATGCAGCATATAACAGCATCTCTCTCTCTCGCTCTCTCTCACAGTTATGTAAACAACATAAACAACTTTTGGAAGCAAATTGCTGTAAGTTACAAAACTTCATAGGCACTATATGTTGCATACTATGTTGTGCAACTCAACACGCAGTAGACAATGCCTCAGAGATTTTTTTAATTTACAGCAATTTGTGTCTAAAAGTTACACCATTTGAAGAGTGTTACACTGTGCTATAGGATTTCGCCTAGTATTTCAGCCAGAAATCTGGCTTTCCTCCTCTGTTTTCCCTGTGTGAAGAAAGGAAGCAAAGCTCTCTCACACAGTGTTTCCAGGCATAAGCTGAGTAAGAACACTGGGGTTCATCAAAGTCCTGCAAATGCTTGCAAATAATGGACTGCTCCACAAACAGCTCTCCATTCCCATTAGCAGGAGGAGTGAGGAAGCAGAGGATTCCCTACTATTAACTCTGCTCTGATGAAAGCAACAAAGATTCATCTCCCTTCTTCCACCACAGCTTAGAGGGCCCATACATTCTACCCATTTTGTCTGCAAAGATTTATCATCTTGTATCTCCCAAGAGGACTACAGTATTTACATTATAATGATGAATTTTTAAAAACAACAGTGGATACCTCTTGCACTACCAAGAAATTCAAAAGTAAAAAATGCAACAACTCACGGCTGCTTTCACTGTGGCAAATTCCACTATTGCACTTCCATTCTTCTTGCTTGAAATAAGCAAATTCAGAACTTCACCATACTGTGGGAATCAAGAAGAAAAGTAAAATCAGATATAGATCATGGTGACAAATCATCAATAGAGATGAAGCCGTTAAAGCGTTTCTCAAACTCTATCAACAGCAGATGGAAAAAGGACTGTACTTGGAAAAATGAACAATGTGGTGAATCACATTTAACTTGAGATGATTATACAAAATTATTAAGTATGCTAATTGCAGTGGTTTTACCGATGTCACTGTTGCAGTCAGTCAGTGATTTGGTAGAGGTTGTGACAAAGTATAAATGCAGCACAAGTTATTAAGAACAATGACTGATATTTAACACTGTATTTTTCCAACAAAACCAATTAGAATAGCAAGATTATGTTTGTTCAACCAAGTTCTTACTTGTTACCAGCAAAAAGTACTACTTTCTAGGGCTGAAGAAAGCCACAATCAAAATGAGTGTAGTGCTTACTATGGAATTAATAAATAATAAGGAAAATGCTAAAAGTCACAAAGGAAGCAATTTTATATTAAACCCCTTCACTCCAAGCTATTTAGAAATCATCCTACAAGACTATATCAAATTGAAGAGAACTGGCAAGCGAATAAATCCTTATTAAGCCCTTGTTTACCATCAAAAAAAGAAAAATGACTTAGAATAATCATGGAGGGCCTCTCTGGCTTATGCAGATATTTACATATTCACTTATTCTTACAGAACAATCATGTATGCATACAGAGATAAGCTAAAATTAATTGGAATCCCGTCGTACAATGAAGGAGCTGTGCACTTGTACAGGTAGCCCAATGACTAGATTGTTTTCATTATTGTCAAGAGTCAGATCAGGAATAGTTTTGTTTAACATGTGACTCAAAGCTGTTGCAGCCAAACAAATGAGAATTTGTACACCAAGAAATTCTCTGGGTTACAATCCTGGCTTATGAAGAAAATAACAAGGCAAAAGCCCAGATTTAATAACACATTAAATAAATTATTTCTGGCTGGTTTAGCTACTTGCACTACTAGGAAAAGCCAGGCAGGAGTAAACAAGCACATTGCTTATTCACAGTAAACTCAAACTGACCAGAATCCTAACTTACTATTATGTGTGAACACAGCTGGCGTGCAGGAAATAAAATAAAACAAAGAAGCATTTTGGAACAGGACCTTTTGTAAGATTTGGAGAAGAACTTCTTTTGAATAGCCCCCTTTAGTTTCATCTTCTTTCTTGCATTTCCACCGTAGCTGATAGAGAAAAGTAATGTATTAGCTCCACAGATGTCAACAGTATGTAGTTGTATCTGGTGTAGGCTTTTACCTCTATGTTATATAAAAGCAATGGAAATAAATGGAAACATTTGCAAACATAGCAAAATGAATGTCTACACTACACATGAAGAGGCCCAATTAGTTTTATGCATAGAAAAGTCCGTATTTTAGAACATTTTGCAATTGCTACATACATCAAGCAGCATCTTGCACCCTGCCAATATCCCAAGTCACAGACTTAATTGCAAATTACCTTCATCCTAGTCCCTAGATTCTAGATTAAAGTGCAAGGAACACATTAGGGTGAAGCAAGTGACCACTCCAATAAGTAGCAAGGATGCCAGAGACAGTCCCGCTTTCTGGGAGGTTGGAGGCGATCCATGTGGCTTCTACTGATGGAATGATAAGTTAGTTGTTCATCTCTCTTCATAGCTCACATTTTTGGGAATGTCTTACTTTGAGCTTGGGAGTTCCTTTGCCCTCCTCTCCATACCCATCTGGTATGCCTCGAAAAAGAAAAGGAAAACGGAAAACTATCATGAAAATCATTTGAGGATATCATAGTATGTCTCTTTTTAATACATGAAAATATTTGACCTGTGTCCTGGATCTGAATACTGCGATGTTAACTTCACCACAGAATATTTTTGTGTGTGTAAGATCTCAGCTAGCAGTTATTTTGACAGCAATTCAAGTTAAAGGTAGATCTTACATTTACTCTCTTTATGCACTGAAATCTCACTAAGAACAAAAAAGCTAACTGGGAGGTAGGGGTAGATGAAGATGACTGCAGATAGGTTACACAGTAAATGAATACCACATGCAATCCTCTACTGAAGAAAGCACAATACATTTTGTGAAGTTCTTGATAAACATTCCTTAAGCTAATCTTTAACACCCTCCCCATTTGAAAGACAGGGAATGAAGATTTAGGATGGCTATGTGAACTGCTTGAGGTTAAACAGAAAATGGCCAACATCCTGTTGTGTAACATAAGCAAAGCTGTTAACTTTGAGTCCATTCCTCACTTCTGCAGTTCTCATAGGGGGAGGACTGGCGTGTGTATACATGCCCCCAAGAACCATGACAGGAGCTCTTTATTTACCAGTGAGGAATGGACCAGTTTTCAACTTTCTTTATGTTATGCAACAACATTTTAGTCAATACATGCCACAGACTAGACCTGTAATCCTAAACACATTTTCCTAAAAACAAATCCCATGAAAATCACAGGAATTTACTTGTAAGGATGAATAGAGTTGTGCTATAGATTTCCCAATTTGAATTTCATTTAGTTTTGTCATTTAGTCACATTTAATCATTTTATCTGAGGCATAAAAGAGAAAGGGCATTCTGCCACTAAATCTTCACAGCAAGGCAACAAAGGGGTTGCTTTTATAATGAAGTGTATTACTTCATAACAAGAAGAAACTGGCCCTGATAACCCAAGGATGCATGAGGAGAACCCAAACAGACAGCACAGCCAGAGGCTCTGACCTTGTCTGGCCTTACCTCGTACTCGTTCTTTCTCAAGTCGGATTTGTTCCTGGATGAGTTTTTGTTGTTCCTCCAGTTGACGGGATCCCTCTTCACGTAACCGTAGGATCTGGAAAAGAGGCAGAAAGTAGAAATGCTTTTTATTTTATTTTATTTATTTATTTGATTTGATTTATAGCCCGCCCATCTGGTATATTCTACCACTCTGGGCCAGTGGTCACAGGACATAGATCAGTAGTCTTTTTAGCTCTACTCGTTAGCCACAACAACATTAAAGAGCATTTTTCATTGTTTACATTTTGAAAAGTGTAGCACAGGAATATAGAAAGCTGTCTTAAAATATAGAAGAGCCTCGTGGCGCAGTGGTTAAACTGCTGTACTGCAGCAAAAAACTGTGCTCACGACCGGGGTTCAATCCCAGGTAGCCGGCTCAAGGTTGACTCAGACTTCTATCCTTCCGAGGTCGGTAAAATGAGTACTCAGCTTGCTGGAGGGGGGTAAATGTGTAGCCTGCATAATTAACTTGTAAACCAACCAGACAGTGCTTGAAGCACAATGGGGTGGTATATAAGCTTTGCTTTATACCAGGTCAGACTAGTCCCTCTAGTTCAAAGAACAATGGTCACCTGGTTTTCAGAAAGAAGTTTTACTTGGAGCACTTATCAAAGAATGAAACCTAGAACCTTCTGAGTACAACACACAGGTTCTATCACTGAGCTATATCTCTGAGAAAAAATAAATCCCCTCATGCTTCGTATACCAACACACTGAAGCCATGAGTTCAAATATTTTTTAAACATTTTTCCTAGAGGACCAGAGCATCATTTATTTCATATACCTCTTCAAATTGTTAACTGTCTACTATTGCATGTAAATGTTATGATCCACATGTCAGACACAATTACTAAAACCTTGTTCCTTACACCTACCAGCATAACTCCACTGGTATAAATGTCAGCAGTCAATGACTTGGCATATAACAATGAATGTCTATGCCAACGTTTTCATCTGTGGCAATTCACTGCTGACATTTATTACAATGGAGTTAGGTTGGCTTAAATATGTAAAATATGCTTGTATTTTTAGTGGGGGACTTTTAGTGGGTGGGGAGTGTTTGGGGAATTTTATGTGTGTGCATGTGTCTGGTCTCTGGGTGTCTGTGAATTTCGTTGTATGGGTATACTGTGTATATACTTACAATGACAATAAATTATTATTATTAATAAAATTCCAATTTTATTTGGCATGCTTTACTTACCTCTTGCTCCAAAGTCCTGGTTATCTGGATCTCTTCCTCCTTGCTGACCTGGGACTGTGCTTCTCTCTCCCGGGCTTCAAGATCTAAAGTGTAACAAGTTCATAATATCACAAAAATGCAAACATTTCTGCAACAGGATGAAATTCTGCTAACTGCATGGATATCTCTGCTTTAATGTTCCCTATACAGTGGTGCCTTGCATTACGATCGCTTCGTTTGACGAAATCGCATTACGATGAACTTTTTGCAACCGCAAAATGATGTTTCCTATGGGGGAATTTCGTTTTGCGATGATCGGTTCCCTGCTTTGGGAACTGATTCTTCGCAAAATGACCATTTTCCAAAAGCTGATTGGCGGTTTCAAAATGGACACTGGGTAAATAAATGGCTCCCCGCTGTGTTTAGAGACAGATTCCTCGCAAGACAGGCAGCGATAATGGCCGCCCTATGGAGGATCTTCGCTGGACGGTGAGTTTTAAGGCCATCGGAACGCATTGAACAAGTTTTAATGCGTTTCTATGGGCTTTTTAATTTCGCTTTACGATGTTTTCGTTCTACAGCAATTTCGCTGGAACGAATATGTAATTCTGGGTACCTTTATTTTTTCAAATAATTAAAATTAAATAAACTTTATATATAAATTAATTGTAAGAATGAAAGCTTCCTAGCATTTTTGCTCTGAGTGAGGGAGAATTATTTATTTATTTATTTATTTATTTATTTATTTATTTATTTATTTATTTAAAATATTTTTGCCCCACCTTTCTCCTTAAAAGGATCTAAGGTAGCTAAAAAAGATCTAAATTGACATACCAAGCTTGACTTTCTTTCTCCTTTCATCGAGCTTTTGAGTTCTTTCTGCTGCCTGTTTCTTCGCTTTCCTCACTTTATCATATGCAGCCTATATTAGCAACAGAACCATAGGAAAGGATAAAACAAAAACAAAAAGGAAGTCACCAACACATATGCTATTTGAGGCACTCTGGAATAACTATGCAAAAGAATTGTGGCATTTTCAAAAACATGCAAAATGCAGCATAATACACATGTCTACACAGAAATAACTTATGGAACAAAAAACTACAGGAACTTGGTGCAGTCAGCTGAAGTGTGTTCTTATCAACATGCACCTAGGAATGAAAACAGACTAAAGAAGAGAGTGACAAAATGCAGGATGTAACATGAAATCCTACATTTTAGGACAAACAACCTTCCTGAAACTGACATTTTCCATATGTTGGACCACATCATTCCTAGTCAAGAATTGTACCATAGGATTTATTCCGTTCCGTTTAGTCGTGTCCGACTCTTCGTGACCCCATGGACCAGAGCACGCCAGGCCCTCCTATCTTCCACTGCCTCCCGTAGGAGGATTTATATTTTACCTCAAAAAATTGGTTGGTTGGAGAAAGCAATTTTAAATAATTTCAGGTGCTGGGTTAAGACATTTTGTTCTCCCAGGTATTTAATGGAATTGTTGCTCCTTCTTTTTTTACAAAATGTATTGATTTTACTTACTGACATTTTACCAGTTTTTGTTTAACGTTTGTCATGCATTATGGCCTTATGGTTTAGCATCTTTCAGGTTTTGATTATCTGATTTTTTAAAAAAAATTACAAAACACTTTGTTCTTTCCTATATGCAAACATACCTACATTAGGGATGCATTCTTTCATCCGATAATTCAACTGTGCATAAGTGAATTGTCAAACTTATTGTCATAAAAAGTTGTAATGACTGCCAACTTGGATGGCCTCAAGAGGGAACTGGATAAATGCATGTTAGGGGCCATCAACTGCTGCTAGTTAAAACAATTGTGTATCTGGGCCAATATGAATCTACACATTAGCTGCTCAGAAGAGGCAGCAAGGTGTCCTGCTGTAGCACTTCCTATGGCTAATTAAGTTGAACAGTGCAGGAACAGAATGCCTGACCCAGCCTGGCTTGTCTTACCCATGAGTTCTTAAAGAGTCTGTTTACTGTAAACAACATGGTTGTCAGTTAGGTTCCCCTTACACAAGTTATGACCCAGTCTAAGCTCTTTACAATTCAGAAGGGGTCTCTTTGTTGCAAGACATTCTACAGGTCTTGCAATACAAGTGTTCCATTTATTTGGTCACTCCTTTGCAATGTGTTAGCTCACAGCACAACGGCTGGAAAAAGTGCCAAAGCTTCCATTTGTTTCTTTAAGCATTCAATGACAGAGCTAGTAAATGCTTGTTCTTATGACACAGAACTAAACAACTCACCCTCGCTGCTGCATCTGTTAGAACTGCCAAAGCTTGGGACAACTGATGGAAGAGCTCAGCTAGGAAATAGAAAAAGGAAAATTTAAAGCAACAGCATAGCAAAGGGCACAGCTTTCACAGATATGTAAGTAAAACTGAAAGTTTGCTGGGTTAAAGGATTTTACAGAATGCAGCAAGCTTTCAATAATAGTTGGGTACAAAGGTCCATCATAGAGATACAGGATAAATCTGATTTAAATCAAGTCAATTTAAATCATGATTTAAATCACTAGTCAGTAAGACTCGACTTAAATCATGATTTATAAATGTAAAGACTCATTCTTGCTGGTAGTCATAATCTTTGATATTTGCAATCAGATGAGTATTTCATATTTAGAACAATAGCATGTCAGATTAGTAAAACAGCTATATCAGAACAGATTTTAGTTTAATACATTAATCACTCATATTTGGAGAACTACTTAAATTGTTTTATTTAGTAAAACAATAACATTATGTGGGATACATATTTTTGTATTGGCTTAAACATGAATGTTCATGGCTTGCACATAAATTAGCAGAACAGCAATAGAATTAATGTCTTTTCCTGAATTTTGTACATTTTATACCATTTTACTGTGAAAAAAGGGATGTTATCTCAGCTTGAATAACTTGGATTAAATGAATTTCTTGTACCAAAAGTGTAAATATTGCACGTTACATAACTAAGTTCTATTTCATGCTGAATAACCTTTGAACCATAATATATCTTAAATAGAAAACTAGATACTTTTTTCCTCCAAAAGTATGTCACTGAAATAAATTTGTCTTAAATCAAAAAAAAATCCAGTTTGAATTAATCAAATCAGATTTTTAAAATTAAATAATCAATTTTAATCCACCCTGTACAGATACAATTTAGAAGGTATATTCCCCCCCCCAAAAAATCTTAAAATATACTTTGGCTCTACCGTGACTAATTCCTATGTTTACAGATAATTCAGCTCTGAAATCCCAAGGTGTGTGAACCTCACATCTTTGGGTACTGTAACAGCTTCTTTACATATCACTGCGAACTTCAATGAATTCTATCCACCCTTATATATGCGAGAAAACACCATTCACTTATTTCATTAAAGCATGCCTGTTCTCCTTTTATCCCCATATTCAAAATATGAGTTCTGAGTATTTCAATCTATTTGATATTCCTAACTTCCACTTATGAGGGTAGACAGCTCACCTTGCAAAGATAGCGTACAACAAAGAATAAAAACTATATATAAAATGATTAAAACTTTAAGAACAATCCAATAAATTAAAGTAAAAGAACTATTAAAAAAGGAAATCAACTTAATCATATTAATAAAAAAAATGTCATTTTATTTTTTGAAAAAATTATCCATAATAATAATTGCTTACAGAGAAATGAATGGAAACCGTTATTCAAAAAGTTCAAATATCATTGTGAAGACATAACAATACAGTTCCGGATAAAACACAATCCTGGTGAACCGAGATTACACAGAGTAATAAATAGGAAAGACTGAGTTCACAGAAAGACTGGCAATACCTGCTTTGGGATGGTCTGGATTTTTATCTGGATGGCAGGTCAGCGCCTTCTGTCTGTAGGCTTTCTTAATCTGCATGAGACAGAACAAAAAGAATGCAATATCAGTGTGATGCACACACAGACTTCAGAAAAGGTTCAACAAAATATACAACAGGAAAAGAACAACCTACTGAAGGGAGTTGCAGCTTTCAAAACAAGCATACACATAATAATTTGATTCTGTTGCAAAGGGCAATCACCTAAAGTAGGTGCAACAGAACCCTATAGCTTACAATAATAAAGTATTGACATTTTGCCAATATCCACATTCCACTATGGCAAATAACCCAGCCAACTGCAAAGTCAAAGCCTTGGCACAGATTCCCACCACCCTATTACCAGGTACAGGAGACACAGAAAACTAGGTTGGAAGGGACTACAAGGATCATCAAGTCCAGCCCCTGCCAAAGCAGGAAACCTTACATAAAGCATCCTTGACAGGTGTTCATCAACCTCTATTTAAATGCCTCCATTACTGGAGAGTCCACCACTTTACCAGGCTGCCCATTTCACTGTCAGCTTGCACTGTTAGTTAGTTCCTTCTAATGCTGAGTCAAAATTTCCCTTTCTGTAATTTAAATCCATCAGTTCTGCAGGTTGCATTGATATGTTGTTTGTGGGCTTCCTAAAGACACATGGCTGCCCACTGTGGGGAAAAAAATCCTAGCCAAGGTAGCATAGATGGTTCATGAAATAACAGGCTGAGCCAAATGCTTGGTTCAACATAGAAGTACACAGGCCATCAGTCTGATCCTACTGCGTTATCTTTTGCCAAGAAGCTCTGTGTGGATTCTGTCATCATGATAGAAGTTCCCATAATCACTGTGATTTGTATCATATAAAAATATATGACAACCATTTATTTATGAAAAACTAAAGGGACTCATCCCTGAACACTAAAGTGTGGGAGCTACACGTTCCTTTTGCCCCTCCCCACCAGGAACTGCTAATTTAGTTTATTCTTCTCTGCACAATCTTATCAGACAAAAACTAAAACAAAACAAAAACAAGAAAATACAAAACATGGTAGCACCTTAAAGACTAGCTACTATATTTTAACAGAAGCTTTCTTGGATTATGTCCTCAGAAAAGTGGACTCAATCTAGAAAGCTCACATTAAAATACAGTACCTATTTTGTTCTGCCTTCCTTCCTTCCTTCCTTCCTTCCTTCCTTCCTTCCTATCAGAACACTGCACAATTTAAAATTATCGATGTATGAAATAAAAAATTAAAAGCAAATTAAAATGTTAAGATAGTTAAGACTATTTTTGACCAAAAGTGGACTACTTCAACAGAGTTATCTCTGCCATTTGGTAGATCTTTTATACACATGGTGGGTTCATAAATTGTATGCACATAAGTGCTGCATTGGTTGACTTTCTCCACAGTCATAGAAAAATTGTCCTGTACCTAAGTAGCCCTGTTTTACTTGATTATTCTTTGATCTCCCTACATCACTTAGAAATTGTAACTTCCAGACGGTCCAGCTAGTCTTGTACTGATGGGACACTCTTCAGCATCCATCCCCTTGGCCAGCTGTGTTGTTTTTGTTCTTCACAGACTTAGCCTAGCCTCTTCTAATTTAATATTTAGAACTCAAGATGAGTGCAGAAAATATTTCCTCAATTTTAGCCATTGTCTAGGGGTTGGTGTCCATGAAGTGGATGGGCTTGGTGCTATACTTCCTTATTTTATTCACTATTTGCTAACACATCTTGACAAACTTCTGTAAGGCCAGTACCAGCAATGGAATTTTTCCAATGGGAGTAGGTTTTAGGCAGCCAGTACTGATCCTACATGATTCATTAAGAGCTACATCCACTTGTTTGGCATGTGCACATACCACTAGCATATTATGCAGTACCACAGGGGAAACTGTAGCTAGTCCTTAAAGCGACACAACATTATTGTTTTGGATTTTTTTTGATTGTTTTTGTCTTTTCTGCATGGATTCAGTGCGGGTTCCATTTCTGTGTCCCTCTGGGGCAAATTCCTCAAGGGCTGTTGTAGTAGTTGTTGTGGGTTTTTCGGGCTCTTTGGCCGTGTTCTGAAGGTTGTTCTTCCTGACGTTTCACCAGTCTCTGTGGCCGGCATCTTCAGAGGACAGCACTCTGTGCTCTGGTGCACTTTGTCAGGGAACTGAGTATGGCTGTGAGATCAGCTTTTGTCAGCTGTTGTAGTGCCAGTTGCTTCCCTCAAAACTGACTGTGCCCAATTGGACTTGCACCCCAACATCCAGAAGGCCACGTGCGCGCTTCATAGTCAGTGGACAGCAATTTATCTATACCGAGGGAAGCAAACCTGAACACTGGTAACCAGTTAATACAGAAAGAAAGACACCAATAATAATAATCTCAGCATTAGAGTTATAATGAACAGTGTTATAGTTTAGGGCAGGATCTTTGCCATCCTGACAGAAATGCTCTTCACTACTGCGATTTGCGTCCTACAAAAGTGTGTAGCAGTCATGCAAGCATGGGGCCTTGCACCCCCCGAAGCTGGTGTCGCCCTAAACATGTTTACTCAGAAGCAATCCCCATCGAGTCCAATGGCGACCCGGAACACTTAAACTCTGCAATCTGAAGGACGCCCATCGTGTACGCTTATGGAAAGCCGTATGCTGTACCAAGAGTTTGATTTAAAAAAAAAAAGTTTAAGAAAGGAGCGATGTATTGGTGGCGGCCGTCCTAACGCTGCTGCATTGCAATTCCTATCCTTAACCACCCGCGACTATTCTGACTAAAAAGAGAACGGGGGAACTGCAGGCCCGGAGCACAACCAAGGCGCCGAGACCCTGCAGCCGCCTCAACCGGCGCCCCCGGTTCTTCGCGCTGCCGCCTCTCCCCTCCGAGAAGCAGAGCCAGGATGGCCTTTCACTGCCTCCCCTCTGCCCGGGGCCTTCCTCGGGTCCTGACCTCTTTATCCGACGCTTTCTCGCCGACTCCAAGCAGCGCGTACAAGTCCAGCTCCAGCAGTTCTTTACCAACCGCCATTTCGCCTTCTCACTTTTTTCCCTTTCCTCAGGCCAAACCGCTAACACTTTCGCTCTGGGCCGAAGATTGACCCGTCCAAGCTTTTCTCCCCACCCCCGCCAAAGCAGTCTACCTCTCCGCCAACGTCGCTGCTGGGAAACGTAGTCTTTCTACTTCGAATTTCCCCTGGCGACACCCAGGAGAATTGCCTCCGAAGAACTACAATTCCCACAAGCCCTGACAGCTGGGCGCCTCCGTGACTGCTTGGGGAAATAAAAATCTCAAGATCACCGCGCAAGGGACTGTGGGAGGCGGAAGTCTCCTTTGGTTCTTGGGAAACGTAGTTTTTCCGTCTCTTCTTCGTTCAGAAGAGAGATCTTGAGTGCGATGTAAGTATAACTCCGGTGACAGCAGCGCTACAGGGCGTGTTATTATTTAAAACACTTGCGAAAAAGTTTCATTTGCCAGCCGAGTTGGGTGCATGTATAGATAGCATCAGAAGCTTGTCTTGTGCTGGCGTTTTCCCGGTCGTTGTGCTAGAGAGGGAAGGTATATTCTTCCATTGAGCTTTGGGTGTAGCATGCTGACTCCTTTATACATCTCCGATGCCCGGAGAGGTCCTGTGTACGCAATCAGGGGCTGAATTCCCAGCCTGCGGTCTTTGGGAACGGTCGAGGCGTGTTGCTGTGTTTTGTTCCTGTTCCTCTGAGGTAAGGCAGAAGTCGCGTCCAAGTGTGTATTCATTCCGCCACTGGGTCCTACCTCCGCAGGGTGACACTCCAAAGGTGAGTTGATCAGCTGGCCTTATTGCACCATCATTGTCAAGGTCTGCTCAGTTCTTCTGAGGAAGAGCGTAAGGGCTGGGGAGGAAAGGAAAATAATTGAAGCGCCAGAAAGAGAAAGGCAGAAGGAGAAAAATAAAATTTCCATCTGTAATTTTATTCACATACCCAGTGAGTGAATGAGTGAGCGAGTGAGTGAGAGAGAGAGAGATTTAAGTCTCTTCAGTTCCTCTTATAAAAGCAACCAGATGGCTGTTATAGAGCCTACATTTTGCTTTCTCCCTTACTGTTTTATGTTTCGTGTTTTCGCACGGTATTGTAGTGTTTTATGATTTAGAACTGTTATTTACATTTTTATTGTACTATTTTAAGATTGTTAGCCACCTAGAGTGGTCCTCATTTGACCAGATAGGCAGGATATAAATAAAATAAAATAAAAAAATACTTCTGTTTGCTAATCACTTTTATAAATACATCTTTTAGGATTAACTCCATTGCTCAGACAGATTCAGAAAAACCTCGATTGAGGTTCTGCTTAGTTCACTATTTCCTTAACACCAGGAAATCTAAAGATCCTCACACAGAGGTTATTGCCAGTTTAGCAACATTAATCCTTATGTGTAATACTTTTATATTTAATAGAGAGTGTTACAACTGCAAGATACATCTGTGGACACCCACATGGCTCCTTCTTCTGTGGCTCTGTTCATGGGCAAACTAGAAGAAAACATGCTGAAAGAGGCTAGTGACAAACCTCTTATACTGTGGTGGTACATTGCTGATATCTTTATAATCTGGATGAAATGCAAAAAGCACCTGTAAATCTTACATCAACTCTGTTCATCCCACAATCAGATTTACACCTAATAGCACCATCAAAAATCTATCTGTCCCTTTCCTTGATGTCTTCCTTATCACCAAATATAACAAAATTGTCACTGACTTTTATAACAAGGTTCACTGATGACAACACATATCTACCCAAGCATATAAAGAGGAGTATTATATAAATCTTAGTTCTCAGATGCATTTGCAACACCAAATAATTTTTTAAATATATAAACACATGCATGAGCTCAAGAAACACTGGCTTCATAATGGATAGTGTCAAATTTTTGTTGATTCTAACATCAAAAGGGCCACCTTTTATTCAAGGGAACATATTTCCCATCAGAATTACAGTATAAATCTAACAAGGAATATGTTTTGTTTGTTTGTGGCAGAATTCCATCCAGCATATGTGGTAAGACAATTACAGAAAGCTATCCATTGTTAGCAAACTCAGAACATCTTGCAAAAGCCATCAGCAAACTTCCTCTGATGGCTTTGCACCAGCCACCAAATCAATTGAGATTGTTAGTGAGAGCTGTCCTCAAACCAACCATCCTGCAATTCTGGATCATTCTCTTGTGATTCCATGTGCAGCATAACTTGTGTTTTTCACAGGGAGACAGTCATTTTTACTAGCACTGTGAATGGCAACAACTAACATAGCTTTTAGGCCTTGCAGTGTAATTTGTCTCAGTGAGTGCAGATTACCAGGATGCCATCACTAATATGTGGGCAAAACAGAAACAAGCCTTTGTACAAGATTCAGAAACTATAAATCTACCATCTTGACTAAGAAATTGGGACAATCAATGTCCAAACACATCTGAACATCATGGTATATCGTGACTTTTCTTTGGTTGGAATAAGGATACCACCAAATCCAAGCAAATTAGAAAAGAGGGAAAACTTCTGGATTTACATACTCATACATACTTTGGTGGAAACCAAAACGTTGCTTAAATACTTCTGTTTATTAGCCATACTCATTAGGCTGTACCTGCAGATATAGATGTAGTTATTGGCTAAAAATGAGTAGTCAATCTTAACTAGGATAGGCCCATTGAATCAATTGAACTTCTGGAGGAGTTGATTTACAGTATCAAGTCCCCACTGTTTCAATGGGCCCACTCTAGTTTCTGACTTCTAACTGGATTTCAGCCATAGATATATATGTGTGAGAGATGTGCTATCAAGTCAGAATTGACATAGTGATCCTAATAAGCTTTTGAAGGTAAGTTAAATATTGGAGTAGTTCCAAACACCACCACCACCCAGTGAGTTTCCATGGTTGAACAGGGATTCCAATACAGGTCTCCTGGGTCATAGGGCATCCCTCTCTTCACTTTACCACACTGGGTGGCAGGCAATGGTTGGAGGCTAGGGGTGGATGTATTGGTTACAATCCCAGTTGGGTGTTTTTTTTTAAATCCCAGTTCTCTGCTATTGGGAATACAGTCAGTAAGGGATTTTAGAGATGGGAATCCCAAGTTTAAAATCTCCAAATGCTTTATTGACTAGTCTGTGGGTTAGCTGAAAGGTTTCAGTTTTGAAGATAAAGCTCTGATAGATGTACTGTGGTCCTTTGTTGGGTTTGAACAAAAAAGTTTTTGTTTCAAAAGGAAGGTCTTTGTCTTCAGGATGCTGCTTTTTGGAACTATGGAAAGAGAGGGTGATGTGCTAGTGATCTGGAAAAATACTGTATATCACCCACTTTTTTTAAAATGAACTTTTTTTAAAAAGTTCATTTCCGGTCTCATATTTCCTTGTATTCTGTGCATTGTTGGTAGTTGCATTTGTCACACATGGTTATGATAAAACATAATGGATTAACTCATTGCTCACAGACCTGGTGGGGTAGTGTTTTGAGGTGAAACAGAAGGTGAGTTTTGCCTGTGACTGAACATTTACGCCAACCATACAGTTAGGCAGAGTGCTAAAACTGCTTCTGGCATGAGATTTTGAGTATCATGCAAGGGCAGGAAAATGTTTCTTATTTGATTCTTTAATAATAAACTTTGAGAGGATTGTAGAGTGCAATCCTAAGCATGTTCAGTTAGAAGTAACATCCTGTTTTTCAGTGGTTTTTTTCCCTAGATAGGCACATACATGGTTGCAACTTAAACCAATAGCCATCACAAATGCTTTCATTTAGATTAAGGACTGGCTGGATCTCGACTTTTTCTCTAGCTGAATGAGTGCCACAATCTAGCTGTCACAGCAAGACCTTTGTTTTATTTGCCCATTGCTTTCATTTCATAACATTGCTTTCATTGTCCATCTTGTTTTACTGTTTTCTTTTGAAAGAGAGAAAATTGGGATAGCTGCATACAGACAAAATAGTTATGTGTCTCCATCTGTGCTTTTTGTGAAAGCTGAATGTGCCACCTCATCTGAAACGATGGACAGCAGATGTTATGGCTGTGCATCAAAGTTTACTGTCTTCAAGAAACAGGCAAGTTATCCTTCATTAATCTCTATGTTAGCAAAGTAGGTATGAAATTAGCTTTGACTTGAGGAGTGCTTGAATTATTTGCTGTCCAGAGATGGAGCTTGGAATTTTCTTCCAAAATGGTCCAGCAGAAGCTTTTTTTGTATGTCATTAGTGTCGTTTCAAATATCGTATAAATTTCAATTATTTTGATAAGGGTTATATTTAATAATCCTTACCCCATCCTACCATATATTTACTAGACTGAGAGGATCATGGACAAGTAACTGCCTTCCAGCCTCAATTATTTATTTTGTGTAACTGTAATAATAATGGTTTATTGGTGTCTTGAAGTTGACTTGAAGTTGCTTTCTTTAAAGCAAAAGTCTGCTGGACGATGCTATTTCCTTTGATGGGATTGCATAGGTGATGTTTTGATGGTGAAGTGGTATTAAAATCCTGTTTGATTTTTAAATTTCTTTTTGGAGTTGTGTGAGATAGGAATGTGAAGCACTGATGCAAGAAAGTCAATGTGTTATTATGGATTACACATTTCAAATGAACTGGTTTAGATCATCCAGTGCTGACATGTCGTCCTATGTCATCTGTCTGCATTACACAGATGAAGAAGCTTAATTTGTTTCCCTGTAAGGATGTGTTAGAAAGCGTGTCAGTGAAATTGTCTTCACTGTTATAGAATTGCAGAGCAGGAAGAGACGCCAGGGGCAATTGAATCTAAGCTTCTGCTGAATCAGGACATCTGTGTATTTCTGATGCTGAAAATCAGTTGTCTAATTTTAAGCATGTGTGTGTAAACACACTAACGTGATGATTATACAGACATAACTTTCCCAATGTGCTGCACCTTGTGACCCTCCTGCTATTGCTAGATTGCAGATCCCATCATCCTCACCCTTGGCTATGCTAGTTCAGCCTGATAGGAGTTTCATTCCAACAGGCTGTGGAGAGCCATAGGTTGTCTAGCCCTGCTCTGTTGTATTTGGAGCTTTGGTATACTTTTTTGAAGAAAATATAAATTCTGCTGTGCTGTAATAGTTTTAGGGAAAATTTTTAAAACTGGATTCATTTTTGATGCCATAGAATGAGAGACTTCAAGTATCTGAAATCATGTTTAATTGATTAAGAGTAGGTCTTGTTAAATACAATGGTACTTATTTCACAGTAAAGTACCCTGTGTAGTGTATATCTGAACTATAATCTGTGAATAGGGTGAACATGTGTTTGGAATAATATCTGAATAACACAAGTATGTTAAATAATGAGATAGTATTGGCTACTGGACCTTGTTAACTCTTGATGGGGCAACAAGTTTGGTGGCCACAGAACACGTGGAATGATCAAAATTATGATGCATAATTTTAGGTACAGATTTCCTCAACAAAATTTAGTCTACTGCTACAGATTTCTTGCTGGATATGTGAGTTATTCATGATATCCTTTTAATGAGTACCTATAGTAATGAAGGAAATGAAGAAATAGTAAATAATATCTCTATTCATGGACATAGAGTATATTATTCACTTCATAAGATTTGAAAGCAATTAAAAAACTCCTCTACACTCTTCTCAAAAGATTCTCAAGACTGCATCAGCCAGATATTATAATACTGTAATAAGGCTGGCTTGTTTTCCCTTTAATTTCCATTCCTCTCTCAGTGTGGATGCAAGAATTGTGGCCGATTATTTTGTTCAGGCTGCCTGGGATTCAGTGCCATTGTTCCCCGTTGTGGAAACACTCAGCAAAAAGTTTGCAAGCAATGCCATGGGGATTTGACAAGGTAAGACCAGAGCTATCATTCTGGGTGATGTGTCCTCGGTTTTCTTTTTGTTACATCACATAAAATAGCCTTTGGTGAACTGCTACTTTTTCTGTCTAGTAGTTTGTGGAAAGATATGTAGTTGCCTCACAACAACTTAGGACATTGGCAGTCACAAAACTTTGAAACATTAAATCTACTAGAATCCTCGGATAGCAGAGCCAGTGGGCTCACCGGCTGGACTTTCAGGAAGTTTCAGTCCAAAAGGGAACTCTTTCAGTTCTGGGCGGCTCTTGGTCACTGTACATGTTGCAGGGATCTTTCAAGTAGCGAGAACCAAGTGCTACTGAGGCAAAACCTATCATTTATGCTCCAAGGGCTCAGGTGTGAGTGCTGCCAACATTTATCAATCTTAGGGTGGTATTAATTTACCAAAATCAGGGGGATCCAGTAGATATACAGTCATATGAAAGAGAAAGTACACCATATTTTAACTCTATAGTTTTACATATCAGGAATAAAAATCATCAGCAGGTCTGAAAATTAGGTAAATGGCAGCCTCAGATGAACAATAGCACATGACATATTGGACTGTGTTGTGATTTATTTAACAAAAATAAATATAATTTTTATAATGTCCTGATATGTAAAACCGTAGAATTCTTTTTCACGTGACTGTATAACTCTGGACTCCTTTTTGAAAATAACAAAAATAACAAGGAGCCATGTGAAAGTTTAATGACTAACAACTTTTATTTAGCATAAACTTCCGTGAACTATTGCCCACAAAGGCAAACAAACTAATTAGTCTTTATGGGGGGCACAAGACCTCATTTTTGTTGTTGTGCCAGCCCTCTGAAAATTGTAACGATCAGCTCCTCTGGATTGTTGTCAAGAACAACATGAAACAGAAATCAGCTATCCCCAAGGTAGTAACCTTCAGGTGGAGTACAAATTCCATCAGGTTCGGCTAAGAAGGCTAATATTCACAGATGAGGGAACCACCAGTGTGAGGAAGGCTGATACAGTGGTGCCTCGCAAGACGAGCGCTTCGTTTTACGACGAAATTGCATCACGATAAAGTTTTTGCGATCGCAAAAGCGATCACAAAACGATGTTTCCTATGGGTTTTTTTCGCTTTGTGATGATCGCTTCCCTGCTTCGCTAACCAATCGTTGCAAAACGACGATTTTCCTACAGCTGATCGGCGGTTTCAAAATGGCCACCGGGTAAAAAAAATGGCTGCCCACTGTTTTCTGGGACGGATTCCTCGCTGCACAGGCAGCGAAAATGGCCGCGCTATGGAGGATCTTCGCTGGACGGAGAGTTTCAAGCCCATAGGAACGCATTAATTGGGTTTTAATGCGTTTCTATGGGCTTTTAAAAATTGCTTTATGATGTTTTCATTCTACAGCGATTTCGCTGGAACGAATTAACATCGTAATGCGAGGCACCACTATATAATGAATGAATTATAAGTGCAATTTGTAGCAGGTTTTAGGAATCCCAGGTAATGGGGCAAGCCTAATCCCTTCAGGCCTGCTCCTCTACCTTGCTTTTCCAATACTATCAGTGGCTGCTGGGGGCCTTCAAAGGCCTAGGAAATGTGGCAGGAACCGTAGCTCATGACTTCTTTTTTTAACCTGTTACCTTGGTGATAATCCCAGGTAGAACAGTCTATGGGATCTCTCTTTCCCTGCCTTTTGAGCTATTTCAGTCATTTTTTTAACTATAAGATTTGTGACAATTTCTTGGCATTAAAATTAAGTTGAAAGTTTATACGTTGCATTTCATGGCATATTATGTCTATACAGACATACCATTAAATTCAGTGGAACTGAGTGAAAAGTAGGTGTATATATGAATGAACCTTATGTTTTGAAATGATAGTTGGAATCCTATTGTCGTTTGTACAAGATTTGCATAACTTGCTATGATTAATTATAAATGATGAGGTGCTGGAGCATGTCTCGGCATTGTGCCAGTCACATACCTAATTGTGCATTCAAGATGCATCTCAGCACCTCATCAGTTAGCTACAATTAGCTACAGCAGGTCATGAAAAGCTTACTTAAACACCAGTAGAATTCTGCCAGTGATTATGCTTCCATTTTCTAAATTGTGATCTGATTGTAAGCTCTGTTTTTAATAAACAAACAGAAATACCAATTTAGTCTGCATATGAAAATCCTTCTCCTTAAAAAAAGAAAAATCCCAGTACATAGAGGCTTGTCCAGTCACCGTGAACATTAAGTTAAATCCATTCATTTTGAAAACTTGGACAAAAAGTTTCAGAAATCCTCAGGTAACATTGGCAATGAGCATGCTGACTTAGATTTTGGGAGTTGATAACATTCAAAAGTTCAGAAAATAACTTTTTAAAACTCCTTCCTTGACAGCTAGTTTTTTGAGTGTAAGGACCGGCTGGGAGGCTTCTTTATTTTTCTGCCAGGGCTGTTTCAGTCAAGCAACCCTATATTGGCAAGCTGAAGGCTGATGTTTGTTAGTTTGTTTCGTTTGAGCTGTTTGGATTGTTTGTTTGTTTGGTGGTTGGTTTTAAACCTGTCTTTTTCCGAGGCTTCTTTATTTTTCTGCCAGGGCTGCTTCAGTCAAGCAACCCTGTATTGGCAAGCTGAAGGCTGGTTGATGTTTGTTTGTTAGTTTGGTTTGGGTTGTTTGGATTGTTTGTTTGGTTGGTTTGGTGGTTGGTTTTAAGAGGACCCCAGGCAGTTTACATCATTGGTATGGCCAAAAACTGGTTTACCACTTCACCTGTCCTTTTGGAAATGTAGGCTCATTGTCACCGTTGTGTTCAGGCCTACCATGAGGCAAAGGAGATGGCTATCTCAGGCAGCAGAAGCGGGGAAGCAAGGAGTGGCAGTGAGATGGTAGAGGATAGAGCTGTGTATGTACTGTGCCCATGTTGCATGCTTTTGCCTTCAGGTGTGGTGGCGGATGCTGTTCCATCAGCAGTAGTGAAATAGAAGCCAGTTGCTGGTCCAACTGGGCTTCTGTATCTGGAGTTCAGAATAGGGTGCTTGGCATACCTAGGACTTCTGTAGGATCAAAAGTAAGACAGGACTCTGGGCTGAAGCCATGTTTTGCCATCATAAAGAAGAGATCTGACTGCAGTCTGTGTTCCACACTCAACATGTTTCCCATTCTGCTTTTCAGTGGATCGTCTAAATCAAATGCAGGAAAATGGTCTCCACCAGAGAACTATAAAAAGTGAGTCCTGATAACTGTTTACCTGGCCTCATTCCATATCCTTGATAAATGTGTATGTGTTCTGTACATTCTGTACAAAAATTACCTTTGTTCTGAATTGGAGCAAGACTACTTGGGCTGTCAGTGACATTCTCTTATTTGCAGACACATACTCATTTGGCAACAAAAAGAGATTTTTGAATGTGTCACGGTGTAAGTCACATCTAAATTAATTTTTCACTTAAAGCCAATGTACATATACATATATATTAGTGGATTGCTTAGGACTCCTGAATGTGAGAATGAAACTTCACAAATCTGCCTCCAGGAGAATCGAGTTGAAAATTTTATTTCTGGTGTTTGATCTGTCATGACTTATGTGTGGATGCCATTGGTTGATGCCACACGACGTGTGCATGTGTATAAACCATTGATGATGCAATTTGGGGGGGGATATGTTTTGCCATTTCTGAATGCTTGTAACTCCAAATGCATCCTTGTTTTACAGGCGCGTAGCAGCTCTTGAAGCTAAGCAGAACCAGCCGCATATCCTTCAGAAGGGCCTGGTGAAATCCCAAAGCCAGACAGACTCTAGATATCAAGGCTTATCCAGAGAGGATCGGCTTCTAGCTGAGAGACTGGAGAGGCTCAAGAAAGAAACAAGGCCCAGTACGTTTAGCTCACCCCATCCCCAATGGAGGTTTGCTTCAGGTGCAAGGCTAAAACAGAGTTTAAAAATTGAACTCCTACATGCAAGTGTATTGAGGAGATGCCATCTTCACCTTTGAGCTTTCTATTTGTGCTTCGAATAGCATGGAAAACCAGTGCAGCAAAATCATGGGCTATATAAATAAATTTTTTGTTTGCCCAAATTATCTGTCCAAAATTTCTTGGATTCCCTAAACATGGGTTTGGAAGCTCTTGATGATCTGTATATACTTCTGTTTAAAACAGCCTCCCCTGCCTGTTGTTCTCCAGATACATTGGCCTATAAAATCTCATGGTGGTTTAGCACATGCTTGGACCTACCCTAGCTGTAAGAGGAATTGTAGGCCAACACATCCAGATAGCATCAGGTTAAGACAGTCTAATGTTAGCTTTAAATGAGTGGTGTACATTAAGGGGGTGTATATGATTTGTCACAGTGGGAGTTTTGTTGGGACGTTGTAATCATTAAAATGATTTGGCTGATACAAACCAATTATTTCATTAATCTTTTATTTATTTCTTTTGTTTACATTCATACTGGACTTTTTATTAGTTGTTTATCTCACGCTTGACTGTTAGGTACTATGAGAGGGGAGGGTAAGGGATGTTTTTTTTTTCAATTAAAAAAAGCTTTTGCAAAAACTATTTTGAGGCATAGAGTGCCAGATCAGGTGCAGCTTTTCAAGATTCAAGGATAGACCTGATCTCTGGAAGTTATTCACACCTGGCATGAAGCTGTGAAAGACTTTTGCAGCTGTTAATAAACAAATTGGCTTTTTATTGAACAGAAGCCATACCTTCTCAGGCTGAGATAGAGTCTCGTCTGGCAGCACTGAAAAATGACCCAGCAAGACCCATTCCGTCAGCTCAAGAGATGGAAGACCGCCTGGCAGTCTTGCAGGGCAGAACACTTCCCTCCTCAGCTCCCCGGCCAGTAAGAGTATATTTTAATCTCTTTTTATATATCCTTATCAGAGATAGAACTTAGAAGCTTTACTTTTTAAATTACAATCTTCATCCTCCCCAGCCACTATAGCCACTAGCTATACCAGCTAACGGTTTTTAGGAGTAAGTACTAGGCCAAACACCGACTTTGCTTACTGCTGAAAAACTTTGAAGAATATTCAGTCTCTTCCTCATATCCGTCTGCTCAGCTGTATATTTTCTTCAAGTGAAAATGTCCATAGCCTTCTGAACATCTTTTTCATGTACAGAATGGAAATAAAGAAGTGGATTCCTTAGATGAGAACTGTTGAGACAAATATACCCTTTGAAACTGAGGTAAAGTGGTAGCAACCTTTTATTCTGTGGTTGGCACATGAAGAGAACAGACGGCATAATAGACTAAGCATTACAAGCTAAGAATTATTCCTCCAGTTTAGCCACTGATTCTTGTGCTGTGAACTTTTCTTTTAAAATAAACAAAAATAGCATATTTTCCCTCTTCTTCCATCTCGTGCCTATCAAAGCTTATGCACTTTTCAGTTTGTGGTGGGATTTTGTTGTGTTTTATTTTGTCAAATTGGCAGAGGGTTCCCGCTTGGTTCCCTGTATTTTTTTTTTAACATCTCAAAATGCCCATTATCACAACTGGAAGTGGACTCTAGCCATGTCTTGGATTTTTTTTCATTGCATTGCAGCTTTTGACCACTGGTGTATTTGCCAGCCATACCCAGAAAAACTGAGTGCTATTTGGCAATTGTTACAGTTGGGCTTGTTCCATTTCTCCATTTTGCAGCTCTGAAATCCTTCATGTGACTTAAGTATCACTTACTCTTTTATGTGTTTCTTTTGCTCTTGTTAGGTACACCAGCTCTCTAATACTAGGACACAAGTGGAGCAGACAGATGACATGCTGAACCAGATAGCTGAGGAAGTTGCCATTGATGAAAGTGGAGGCTCAGGAGTTACGTCTCAAGGTTATGTTTTTGCTTCCAAATCATTATTAATACTGTAGAGAGATGGGCACAATTATATCCCAGAACTTCATCCCTCAGAGAGCGTTACTATTATGGGTCAACATGCACAGTAACTGAAATTTACCCTATTTGGCTTGTATTAATTTATTTATTTTTATCGTGTTTTAATATTGTTGCTTATACTGTTGTTAGCCGCCCAGAGTGGCCTGGTTGCCAGATGGTGTGGGGTACAAGTTCAATAACTAAAAATAAATCAATCAATCTTGTTGGTGCATTTTTTGTGCTCAAGGCCAATGATGTCATCAGCTATCATCTTTATCACTAACTAGAAGTGTTTGATCCCTACCCCGTGTTCAGAGGCTCATTGGGGAATCTCTTCATTCTGAAGGGGCTGAAATAATCAAAATTTACCCAAACATCCAAAATGTCCAAAAATTAATCTAGTCCTGGTTCCTAGGGGGTCTTAGAACCTGAGGGAGAAGATCAGAAACTTTTAATTGGTGATAAAAGGACACAGTAGATGACATCAGCAGCCTTGCATGTGCAGAGCTGCACTGACAGGATTTCAGCTGCATTTCTGCGATCATTTAACTTGAACACATCACTTTTTCCTAGGTGTTTGTCACGATGCAATAATTTTAGATGAAAATAATGCTTTTTGCTCTTGTACTTATCATAATTTGATCTTCAGTGGCCCTAATATGGGGGTGTGTAATGCTTTGCTCAAAGTCTATGATGCATTTCACTGATGTTTTGTTGACACACTTTCCTGTTACAATTGGTACAGTGACCCCCCCCCACTACCATAAAACATTTAAAAAGTGCACTCCACAATCTTCCTTTTTTATCATTCCCACTAGAAATCTGACTTTCCCCATTTCTGTATATCAAGAGATTCATCCTTCAGAGAATCTTAGTATAAAGACAGAGACTGCTACAATGAACACAGATACAATTTTAAAAGATGAATAACAGTGGATTCCTTGGTTTGTGTGCAGTTTCCATGGGGCAGTCAGGAGACATGTATTCAGTCATTCAAAGTGACGTTGCCCTCACAATTTCCATGGTAGGTGTGTATTCCAGGAAGTCAAGAAATAGATTAGTTGTCAGTCCCACCCTACTCTTCCTTTCTCTTTAAAGGGAACTGCTCCAGTATATAAATGTCAGCCGTGTATACATTTGTTCTTCATTTTCCCCAGAAGACAGAAATTGTTTTAATAACAAAATTGTTCTGGGGACTAATGGGCAGAAGCCTTATTGATGTCAAAGCCACTAGCCAATGGAAACTATTAACTGGTTTCTGCTGTAGACTTGGAAAACTATTAGAAGAATTATTTTTGGAAGCTTTTTCAGGCCAATTTTTTTCTGGACTAAAGCAATTTGCTGTGAAATTGTGAGCTGCAAATATATATATTACAGCATCCTGTACTTAAATATTCTGTGGTTTTATAGCCATGGAGGATAGACTAACACATGTGTAAATTAACCCTATGTCTTTTCTTTTTCCCAGAAGTTAGAATGCAGGTGTTGAATGACTTAAATCGAGCTGACAGTACAGATGGTGTTATGGATCTTGATCCAAAACAGTTGGAGGAGGAGAAAAATAAACTTCTGGCAGAGGCTGCTTCTGTGTTGAGGGAGGAGAACACCAGAGATGAGAAAATTCTATCAGTGGCCAAACGATTAGCAGCACTGAAAGGCCAAGATCCTGAGACAGGTATGTAACAAGCACTGGAACAAGCCAGAGCTTCAGAAAGCTCCTTTTTTGACAAAAGTAACTCAGGAGGCTGGAGCACCTAGCTGCAGAGACCAAGGTTAAGAGTTCAATTCCCCACTGTGCCTTGTTGGAGGAGAGCCAGGCTGTGTGGGCAAAGTGCAGAACCTTGGAGTGTCCCCAGAAAAAGGCAGTGATAAACCAGTTCTGCATTCTGTATGCCTAGGAAATCCTGGAAGGGGTTGCCATAAGTGGGAATCACACTGATAGCATGTAATTTATTAGTAGTAATACAGAAAAGTGACATTTTTGAGTTATAGAGTAAGCTGAGAAATAGCTGCTTCATTTCCTTAGAAGACATAAACCTTTATTTGCTGACTAGTGGGAGTATGTACAACTCGTAATTCTCAAGGAAGTGACTATTCCCTGGCCTGTGGTTTTGGTCTTTTTCAGAGCAGATTAATTAATATGGGTGACACAAAAATGACTGGTAACAGGAACTCTTTGTTTTACAAGCAAAACATGAAGACAAAGCCTTTTTTTTCCTCAATGGTCTGGGAGACAAATTCTAGATATACAGTATCTTTCCTCCAGGCCTGACATTAGCAGAGAGGACCTTTGGTTGGCAGCCAGGGCCCTGATTAACAGGTACCTTGAGCCATGTTTTAATTCACCACTTCATTATGGCCAGTACCAAGTGAGTTTGTCTTAGAGCTGCTTTGACTTAAAATAACCTAATAAGAACATGTTTTCAGCCCCTTCACCTGTAAACTACATTATGTTAGGTTAATGTATCACCCTGAGTTTTGGGGGGAAATTAAAATGGTAGTCCTGCACCTGATCATTACAGTGTTCTGGCTGTTACCACAAACCTACCAGGGCTGACTTTTATGTAGGGAGAAATCTTCTGACCTAGAAAAGGCAAGCTAAGGCCCCCTTCAAACCTAGTCTTAATTAAACCAATCCTATTTCTCCCTCCCAGGCATCTTTCAGATATTCATATTATTCCTTTAAATATTCCCAACTGTTAGACAATATAGTTGTGTTTATGACTTGGCCAACCATACACCAACCCCATGGTCTTGAGCTTGTAGGAGGCAAGGCAAAGTGTCTGTGCTGTAAATATACATTAGATAGATAGTCAGTCCCATCTTTTATCACTGCAAACTGTATTTCTGTGTTGACCAATAGTGTTACCGGTGCAGTTTTCAGGGGAAACTTATCCAGTCTGGCCTGTTCTATTTCCATTTAATTAAACCTTACTTTGCATAAGTCTGTGTGTCTGAAGTTTTTTTTAGAACATGGTAGCAAAAATATTATGGGCTATTCTCTGTTAAAGGCTCATGGACAGAGTGACCTGCCAGGAATTCAGAGCTGATGTAGGCCTTGTCTGCATCAGCAGTAGAAGATAAATGACCCCTGATAGCCTTTTTGAGGTACCTCTGGGCTTTCAGAAGCTGGCATGAAAATTAATGCATTCCTTGTGAGTCGCTAGCACAAAGAGGGATCAAGTTGGATATAAGTCGAGTGAACTAAGAAGAAAGCATAATGGATAGGCTGATGGGAAACCAAGGCAGCTTTGATGGAAACCTTAGGGGACGTGAGGAGGAAGGAAGTGGAATTGGCTGTATAGGCCTTATAGAAATAGCCAAGGAATAGACACCATTTGTTTCTTATGTGTATATATCCTCCTTTCCCTCCAACAAGCTCAAGGCAACATACATGGCTTTTCTTCTCTTCATTATCCCCAGCAACTCTATGAGGTAAACTGACCTGAAGGTGACAGGTTCACGATCATCCCCCACCCCTGTTTAATAACTCAGTGGGAATTGAAACATGCTTTTTCCAAGTTACAAACCTACAAATGCTGCAGTCAAATTAAACACAGAGGGAGGAGAGTGTGTTAGTCTTTCCTGCTCTGTCACTACTCTTCTCACAGTAATCAAGAAGAAAACATAGGAGAAGCACAACTCTTCAAACCATTGCTTTCCACTTGTGACAAGTGACAGCAGAGAGAGGCAGAGCTTGCATGTTCCCTTCATTACTTTTTTACATTACTAGATGGTATAATGTCCAAAGAGTTCTCCAGTCCAACAGTTGAAGCATTACACTCTGCTGGCTCTCTGACTAGGCTTCTGGACAGATCAGTGGAGGTGTCCAAAGACCCACATTATCAAACTGTCTATTATCCATTCTTTGACTTTTCATGGATTAGCAAGTAGGGTGGACTGTGAGTCAAAACACAATCCAGTTTATCACCTGGAACGAGCATCCAGGCCAGAGAAGGCAACTGTCTTCAACTGTGCCCTGCAGTCCTGCACCTGTTTGCAGAGACGCAAGATCATGAGAGGTTGTCTTGATAGATGCCATCATATGATTAGTTTCCCCCTCTTTCTCCTAGTTACATTAAATGATTACAAACTGCCTGATAGTGATGAAGAAATGGATGAGGAAGAAGCCATTCAGAGAGTTCTGAAACAGGTGGGCAGAAACTGGAGTTTTCTTTGCCTTCTTGATCATGTTGTTTTTGTCTCAATACCTGGTGCCAGTAGTAATGGTAATATCCTGAGCATGTTCTCAAATGCCTGTGCCTCTACTCCCCCCATCTCTCTCTCTCACACACGCACACACACACGCACACGCACACGCACACGCACACAAGTTCTTACAAAGAGATTCTTTGTCTGGCTGTAAAGATACTTAAAACATTTTTAAAAAGAATAGAGAACAAATATGCAGAAGCTCACTCATTTAAGTTGTAAAATTACTGGGGGTTTTGCTTTGTAGCTGAGGTTAGCCTTACTCAATGTTAGCAGAGCTTTGGTGCCTATATCCGGTCATAGTTTCAACCATTCCACCATTCTTGTCACTATAGAATTGTCTCGTACTTAAGGAAAAAAACTCGAAAGATGTTACCTGGCATCACGTCACGTCTGATGTGTGGTGACTGTATGAGTTAATGACCTTAAAATGTCTTATTATTAACAGCTCTTCTCAGATCTTTTATTATCTACTAGCTGGCTATGGTGGCAGAGATATTGAATGGCTCACACAAGTTACTGTGTATCAGATCCAGCACACTGGTGCTTCTCGCAGTCCTTTGCAGGAATGAGGAGATTATTCTTTTTCTCTCTGATGATACCCTCTTGTGGTCACTAACATTCACCAAGCAAGGAAAAATCTGAGAAGCTAAATCTTTTTTTTCATCTGTCAACAATTCCTCACCCAAACAAAACAATGGTCATGGCTGTTTTTTGATGAGTGTGAATGGGTAGTGTGCACCCTGTAGACCAGTGATCCCCAACCTTTTTGGGACCACGGACCAGCTGAACCTCTGAGGAAGGTGCCATCCCCAACCTTTTTGGGACCACGGACCAGGTGAACCTCTGAGGAAGGTGGGCCCCCCCTGCAGGTGCGAGCAGATGCGTGCACTCTTGGGCACATGCGCAAAGCGGTGGAGTAATACCCACCTACCAGCACCCACCCCTTTGCGCCTGCACGGCCACCCACCACTTCACTTGGGCACTCAGGCACATGTGTGAAGAGGTGGGGGAGCGCTCATCCTGGCGGAGGGGAGTGCATGCAGGGGCAAGGAGATCTGTGTTTGCAGCCCGATCCCAAGCAGCTGTGCGGAGGGGAGTGCATGCAGGGGGGGAGGAGGTCTGTGTTTGCAGCCCGGTCCGGCTCAGGCCACAGACCAGCAGCAGGCCGCAGACTGGGGGTTGACGACCTCTGCTGTAGATCACCATCTTGATGACCTCTGCTGTAGATCACCTCAGACGACCTCTGCTGTAGATCACCATCTTGATTGCTGCCGTTGGTGTTGTCAACCCTGAGGCTGCTCTTTGCGATGCAAACCTTGTCATCCTTTTTCCTGCAAACAAAACAAGCATGATATTGGATAGCAATATAGGAGCCATTCCCTAGCATTTTGTATTGTGCATACAGGATCACAATATTCTACAATAATAAACTGGAGGGGTTTTTTTTTGAGAATGTAACTTTCCTACATATAGCAGTCAGTACTGGGGTGTCTGTGTTCCCCAACAGCCAGTTATGTCTCATGAGCATCAAAAAGACCTGTACTTTTGATGCTAAGTCTTAAGGTCATTAGCCGCCTAGAGTAAACTTGTGTCTAGATGGACGGGGTATAAATTTAATTAATTAATTAGTAAATAAATACTTAGAAATGAAGACAGCTAGTACTGGCTTATTGGTATGACTGCAAGGCTGCCTGCCTTTCTGGACTCATTTTGAGGACATAGCTTCATAACCTACCATTGCACGCCCATATTTATCTCACTAAGAGATCCCTCCACATAGCGTTCATCCTCTTCTTCATAAAGATTATTATCATTGGCAGTATTATCTGGTTGTATATTAAAAGCCAGGTTCTTTCCCTTGCTTAATATTGCAACTGGTTTGTGTTTACTGATCAAAGGATTCAGAAATGGAAAGCCTCTGAGTATAGCTTTGGTATGAAAAAATAAGCCTTTCTTTCACACACTATTCTGTACCATCAGCTTACTGAAGAAGCAGCTCTGGATGAAGCAAGTGGCTTCAACATCTCCCCAGATCAGTCTACCCAACCAACAATTGTACAACAGAAATCAGCCAAAAAATCGAGTCAGGTGAGCATCTGGCCAAATCCTAAATGTGATATATGAGTTCAGTGTGAACAGGTATTAAGGCAATATCAGGTAAATTCAATGCAAATTAGGTTTTCCTTTGATTGATTGATTGATTGATTAGTATCCCACTTTGCTCCCCTTGTAGCAGCAGATTTTTTCTTATTTATACAATGAATTTGTGGTGACCGTTATTGTCATGGTTAACGTGCATGGTCCAAACACAGGTCTCATCTGTTAGTTTCATAAAATTTTCAGACATTCATTATATATATGATGTGAGATTATCATATATATAACTGGGGTATTTTAATGACATACTAAGTCTAATTTTAAATAGCAGTCCTTCTCAAAGCAAAGTACATGCTTTAGTGAGACCTGTCCTTAAAAGTTTTACATCACTCAATTAAGAAGCTTACTGGATACCTGGCATATATTATATTCAATAACAAGAGGTGCTGATGATGAACACAAACACTGGGATGTCATGAGGACCAGATGATTTCCTGCTGAACAGTCCAAAACCTTTTCAAATATTCACATTCTAAAATTATACCATTGAATTCTCTGTTTTGGGCCATGTGAGGATCTTTCTGTCTGATGTTTCTTTCTAAGTAGATAGATGGTCTTGGGGTACACACATGTTAGAACAGGCTCTGCTTCCCCAAATGCACTTGCAACTACAATTTGAACCTATTTTTCAGGCCATATTAACCTCACTTGGCAATCCAGGTCTGAAAATCAGGAAGAATTCCTTTTTGTGGAGTGCGCTGGTAGGATAATTTTCACTGTGGATCAGTCAATTACGACATTTTGTCATTTTCTCTGCTGAGGGTTACAGGTAATCCGCAGAATAGCAGAACATACAGCTTTAACATTTGTTGGTATCTGGGTATGACCAGGCAGTTTTGAGTGAGTGTTTCTGCAACACTCTTGCTTTTAAAAACATTAACTGATTATGTGCAGAAGAAGCAACTCAAAACACCCTCCTCTCCAGCCCAAATACATGGGCTGTTCCCCCAACTTCTACACCCATGCTATCTGTGGATCTCAGGCTGTGACATATTCGGCAAAAACTTTGTTGTTGTCTAGTAAAGGCCAAAGTAAATTGTTGATCCTATGATTCACCTTATAATTTTGTTGCATTTCTCCACCTTCCCCATCAGGCCCAAATTTCAGCTGCCCCTAAAAATGCCCTCCTGCCTGTGAAAACATCAGACAGTGACGAGGAAGAGTTACCCTGGTGCTGCATATGCAATGAAGATGCCATCTTGCGCTGCCATGGCTGTGATGACGACCTCTACTGCCAGCGATGCTTCAGGTAATGGCAAGAGCCTTGTGTCATAACAGCCAGCTTCCTTTTACTCTTTGTTTACTCTTCCTGCCTATGTTCAGGACAGGGCTGGCAACGGGCGGCCCTTCAGGTGTTCTTGAACTTCAGTTCCCAACAGCCCTAGCCAGCGTAACTACTGGTGAAGAATGATGGGAGTTATAGTCCACCCACCTCTGGAGAGTAACAAATTGCCCATCTCTAGAATGGAAATAAAAACTGAGGTATAGTTCACAAGTAGCAAAGGTCACCCTGAGGAAAGTGCCTGGTAGCATCCCAAGAGCCAGAGGTTCACCAGTCTTGCACCGTGACTCAGATGGGAAGGAGGAAGTGCCTTCTCGGCCACACCTTTTTTTTCTCCACCCACAGATTCCTGCACTCCTTGGTAAGGTGCCTGACAAGGTTGGGGATCAACTGTATCAGCACTCAGTGTACTCTTTGTGGCTGTGAGTGTATTGGAAAGGTGAAAGAGGAACTGGCAGGAAATCCCCCTTTCCTGTCATAAGCAGAAATGCCCTCTGTTAAGGCAAATCTAGGGGAAGCCCCCAGTTGTTGGAAAAGTTCCCCCATCAGCCCTAGCTAGCATATTGATGAGAGATGATGAGAGTTGTTATTCAATAGCATCTGAAGAGCCATGGATTCCCCACCCTTATGCTAGGACTCGAGATGCCTCGATACCAAATTCTTTTTCTTTGTTTGTTTCTGTCCTACCATTCCTTCCTCCGTGGACCCCAGGCATGTGTGTGGTTCATTCTACCACCTCACCCCAGCACAGTTGTTCCCACATGGCAAGCTTTATGTATGCATGGGACCTGTCTGAAGCAGTCTCTTCAGCCTAACATGCCACTCATTGATTTGAATTTATTTTATTGTCATTGTACTTCCATACAAGGAAATTAAAGCCATCTCCAGTACACATAATGATAAAACACATGCACATGACATTATCCTTTCTTTCTTTATACATATCGGAGTGTTGAACAATTCAAAATGAGGGACACCCATGAAATATAGGCAAAATTAAAAACTAATTAAAATGTCAGGACTACCAGACTATTTTTGATCAGAAGCAGCAAGAGCTTGAAATATGTGCAGGAACTTTTCCTTGACTTCAGCTGCTGTCCAGGAGGTTGGTGTCCATGAAGTGGGTGGTGCTGCTCCCATGCAATGCTTCTGGAAGTGAATGATACATTGGTTGCACACCATTGCTCAGGGAACACCCAAGTGTACTCACAGTACTTTTCCACTCTTTGGAGAAGCTCCTTCCATGTGGTGCCATTTTTTGTTCTTTCTGCATGGCAGTGAGACAGTAACTGGGGCTAAGATTCTTAGACATAAATGAGCCTACTTTTCCCGTAACATGTGTACTCTTTAAGAAAATATAACAATTTATTTAAATAGTATAAAAATCTGGCACACGAATAAAACAGGGGTGGGGAACCTTTTTCCTTGACATGCTGTTGACCTGCAGCAACATTTAATGGGGCAACAATTGATGTGAAGCAGAACTAAAACTGAGTATGTGCAAAACAAGTGACTAGTGAATTATCTCCTTTCCACTATTTTCTGTAGTTCACAATCCTCAGCTGTGCGAGCATTTTTCTTACTGTGAAACACTGGGGAGGGGGGCATTCACAAGTTAATTGGCAGCCTTTTCATCTCAAGAGCTGGGATGTAAAAATTCCATCCTCAAGAAGATCTGGATCATCTCTCACACACATGTAACATCATTTTTTGCATTTTTGTCTAGTTTTTCTATACTATCCGTGAAGGAGGTGTGCTTAGCCTGAGGAAGCGGATTTCATACATGAAGGCTTGCAACTTGTTTAAATTTTTAGTGGTCCAATAAGAGGTACCACCCACTCTTGCATTTGTGTATTCTTCAGAAGAACAGCTGAGCCCATCAGGCTACAATTTTTGCTCCAGTAATGAAAAGAGAATGAGCTACATCTGTGAGTTTCTGTATCTCAAATCAGTGGAGAATTCATTGATCCTTGGCAATACCTCCTGCAAAGGCCCCATTGTTTGGTTCTGAATATTATTGCTATGACATTGTAGTAGAGTATTTGGGTTTGGCGAGATCTTGGTTCAGTTTATGAACTAACGTGCGAAACTCACTGGATGACCTTGGGACAGTTTCTATGCCACTTACTATACTACCTTTGCCTCACTGTAGTAAAAGTGAGGTAAAAATGCAAAACATTGCCTGGCCAAATTACCTTTGACCTGAACACTGACAGCATTCTTGGTTTGACTTACAGAGAAAGCCATGATGAGTTTGATCGGAAGGAACACCGGACATCTAACTATCACCATTCCTGCAAGCAAAAGTGAGCACATCGAGTGTAAGAAGAAAAAGAGTGTGAATGAGAAGGGGGGGGGAGAGAAAGAAAATAGGTTTGGGAAAGTTTGCCGCAGCATCTCAGGCAAACATTCTCAACACTGCAAAACTGCCATTCATCATCTCTAGAAAAAGGAAGGCAGCTGCGGGGAATCTCAGTGGAGGCTGAAGCTGGTCGGTTTTGTGAATAAAACTAGAGGAATGAAGAATGACATGCATTAAAGAGATTAATTATTTTCCCTAAGGTGACTCTAACTGGATAAGGTGTGTGATAACAATATTGCAAAGATATTAAATTATATGTAAAGAAGAACATTGTGCATTTCTCCCATTTTCTTGGTTTTGCTTTGTTTCTTTGCTTCTTGCTTTTTTAAAAAAGCTGTTAGTTGATTCCCAAAATAAAATACCGTAGTTCACTGTTCCTGGAACCTGTCAATGCAGGTGACCCCTAGACTTTCTCTTGGCCTCCTCATGAACTTCTTGATTAAGCCAGGCCTTGCATGGTCCCTATCTTAATGCAGTGACGGTGAACCTTTTTGGGCCTGTCAGTCGCAGCAGAAGGGGGAATCCTGGGCACGGAGGTGCCTCGAGACTCCACTCCGGATGTGCCGCTAGTGGCAGCTGCTCCGGATCCTGGCCCACCACCTGTCGGGGTACCAGCACTGCACTTGTAGCCACCTCCTTAGGTTTGGCTGCGGGGGGTGTGTGTGTTGGGGGGTAGCGATCCGGCGACTTACGGCTCACGTGCCTCCAGAGAGGACTCTGCGTGCCACCTGTGACACATGTGCCATAGGTTCGCCATTGCTGTCTTAGTGTATCCCTCATTATTCTTCCTTGACTCAGTGTGTTTTTTTGTCTTTCCTGGGCAGAAAAATGTTGGCAAGGGGACAAATGCCAAAGTAGGAAATATTTGCTTTTAGACTGATATTTGCAAGGTGCCTTTATTGTGCTGTTCTCAAAATCCAGCTACATATTTTTTCCTTCTTTTGCTTATACTTCTGCTTTGCTGAAATTTAAGCAGCTGAAGAAATTTCTGAGAGAGGAGCTGAGTTTATGCAGTAAGAACAAGGAGTCTTGGGGCACCTTAAAGACTATCAAGTTTTATTTGCTTCTTCGAATGCATATGAAGAACTGATTTGCAGGCTATGAAAGTTAATGGCAATAAAATGTATTAGTCTTTGAGGTGCTGTAAGATTGTGAAATACTTGAAGAACCATGACATTTTGAAAGTTAGGGTGTGCTTATGGCTACTTAGTTTAAAAGGTTATAGGAAGTTTTATAGAATGTGTTTATTAACTGCTCGATTTATCAGCTACTTTTCAGTCACAGCGCCATATACAGGAACACTTTTTTAAAATTTCAAAACTATATGGTGTTTGGGGCACCTGTGGTCCAAAACGAAGTAACTTTTCCCATTTCCACACAGTACACTCTGCACAAATGCAACAGTTGACCTTTTTCATGCCTTTTCCTCATAAGTGAATTGAAGCCTCATCTGCTTTGGGAAGCCAGGCATTTGGGAAAAGTTTCTGTACAGGGAAGTGGAAGAGACAAAGAGGTACATTGAGCCTATCTCAGTTTGTGGAGTAATTCATACTTTGGTAGATCACTGGCAATGACTGAACAATGACAAATGATCCTATTGTAATGGGTGTATCACATGTAGATATCTGCCAGTGATAAAACAGTGTAATCTCCTGGATGTTTATTCATAGATAGGTCCCTGCTTCATTTTTTCATGACATGACATAAGTGGTCTTGCATATGACACCTTTTCTCAGCCTCAGTTTACCATTTACAAGGAGCCAGTTTTATACAGTTAGTGGTCAAGATTATCAAGAAGAAAGGTACACCTCCTGCCAACAGGCAGATAACAGTAGTAGACAGGACGGGTTGGAATGTTCCAGTCTGGCAGAAGGATAAATTTACCCATGTTCGTGGGAGAATGATCATCTGGTTTCTGTCCCAAGTGTCATAACTTGGCCTTTATTTAGGAGTTTATATATTGGGACTGCTGGCTGGATTGCTCAGGGAACGAGAACAATTGGCTGTGGAGCCAGGGGTTTGGAGTTCAATTTTCCACTCTGCTTTGTAAGAGAAAGGCCAGCCTATGTGGTCTTGGGCAACCTACACAGTTGCAGACTTCACACAAATGAAGGGGCTGGTAAACCATTTTGGAGTACTTTATACCTTGAAAACAACAGCACAAGTTGCCATAACTCAGAATCAACTCAACAGCAAGTTATTAATTATATTCCCATTGCTTTGCAAAAGGGCAGTTATTCTCCCTGTTTCTCGGCCTGCCTGCTAATGAGTTAAACATCAATTTGACATTAATTTACTCTCTTTTGAAGACTTTTTTTTAAAAAAAAAAAACACTTTTCTAGGTTTTATTTTTAACCGTCCTGGGCCTTTGCCTTGTCTTGGAGCTTAGTCCTTTTTTACTTTACTTTTCAGAATGTGGGCTAACAGAGAAGGAAGGGCAACATGGCTAATCAGAATGCCGATCTGATGTTTCAGTTCCTTCAGACTCAGAGAGTCAAAGTTAGCTGAGGCAAATACTGTATTTTTTGCACCATAAGACTCACTTTTTTCCCACAAAACAGGGAGGTGGAAAGTCTGTGCATCTTATGGAGCGAAGAAAACAGATTATATTTTCCTGTTTTCTTCTCCTAAAAAATCGGTGCGTCTTATGGAGCGAAAAATACGGTAGATACTATGCTGATAAAGTTGTGTGCATTAATCAATATAGTTGTAGTTGTTGGAGTTGTGGCCATTTTTGTCTATGTAAGCAGTTCAACAAGAAACACAACATGAAAGAAAAAAAATTCCTTCATGGAACTTTGACTTCAAAAGAACTGAATACCAAACGGGTCATAAATCATTTCTAGGTGTGAAATGCAACCAGACACCACTGTCTCTTAGAGCCTTTCATTAAATCTCTGTATAATAACTCATATGTCTGAACAGCAGGACAACATTCCACTAAATGTTAAATATAGCAGTCTTTAAAGTGCCACAACATCTTTTTTTGCTTTTGCTTTGTTTTGTGTTTCTTGTTGACATGAATCTATATGTTGGAGAGGTAAAGTTGCTGAGCCCTATCTGTCCTGTTTTCCCCGGTAGCTAAACTTTCTGCTGGAGCCTTAGAATGACCTTTTCTATTTGTTTGTTCTGTGGGTTTATATGTGTTTACAGCCTTGAGCAACTTGTATAACAAATGCTGCTCAGAAAACATGGGAAAGACTGCTTTAGGAAAACCACAGACAGTGTGAAAATTGTTATCAGGACAATGTTGCTAGGCGATACAATAAAATTAATTCAGTTTTTAAAAAATCATTTAATAAGTCATAGAAAAATAAGCCATTTTTACATTTACAAAATACAAATATATTTAAAAGGGCAAATCAAAAAAGTCTTCACCTGCTTCTGGGAAGCTTGAAGAGAAGACACCATGCCAGCCTCTGTGAGAAAACTATTCTTCATATTGCAGAGAAGGCCCTCTCCCAAGTAGCCACGGGCCTTGCTTTATTTGGCAGGGGCCCCTGGAGTTAAGACCTCTGAGTACTGTAATTCCTTCCATGACTCTGACAGAGATGCATTGAACTATGGCCTGCAACTGCACCTACATAAGAAGGAGAGACCTCAGGTACGTATATATATGTACTCTTTGCCTCCTTTCCCATTAAAAAAGAGTTCTGCCTATGCCCATGAATAAAACCCTGAAGATTTACTCCTACATAGCATGCCTTTCTACCTCCTTCTTATTTCTTAGTTCCTCTTCCCTAAGTCAGGAATAAGAACAACCTGCTGAACAGAGTTGTTAGGTGGGCAAGTAAAGAGATGGAAATAATTTGCTGGATGAACTGTGCCAATTTTACCATTGCAACTAAAATGGCACACAAGCTTTTAAGGTAAATATTGCCCCCAAGAGCCTGTGTGGTAATGGCCTAGGGCTCAGGAGACCTGGGTTCTGTTCCCTGTTCATGGAACTTTCGTCAGTGGTGGCAACAGTAAAGCCACTCCTTACCTATCTTATATCTCTTGAAAACCCTATTAGGGTTGCCATACATTGGATGCAGCTTGATGGCATTTGACAACAGCAGCATTCTCCAAGGTACAAATTATATGCCAAGAGCAATATGGAACACATGTTCAGAGACATGTCAGTGTTATTCCTGCCTATGCAGCATTCTTCTCAAAACAATGAAATGGACTGAGATTTTTTTCTTCATTCACTGTATAAATTTAGTCATATAGAAACAATTTGACCACCAATTGCTGAGAATTAATTTCATTCCTGGATTTTGTAAGGTAATCCAGGGTAAACCAGCCTTTTGTACAGACGCCTGGAGAATTTAGAAAATGCACTTCTGAAATATCTCAGTAATGAAGGGACGAGAGAGGGGACATAATATGCTGTGTGAACTTTCATGTTAATTCTTCCTGTACCCCAGACAACCATATGCCAAGGAACCACAAGTCAAAATATCAGCCTTTGGAAAACTGTATTTGCTCTGAACACCTTTATTGCTATGGGTGGACTACTGGAGCTAGATGGAGCCAGAGTTTTGAAATTTTACTTTTTGTGACCACAGTTTCCTGACTCTTCTAATCAGCAGGTTCTGGCTCTGGGATTCGGCAAATTGGAATCCAACAAAGTAAACTGTCTGGTGAAGTCATTCATGTTGCTCAGAAGGACTCATGACCTGAACACCGCTTAGTCATTGATGTCTGAAAGGAAATGAAGGGACAGGAAACCCCACCTTTTAATTACATGAAGGGACATGAAACTGAAGGAAAATCACACTTTTATAGTGTCTACATTTGGAAAAAAAAACAAGAACACACACACACACACACGTTTTAGTTGTTCAGCACATGTCCACACTACAATATTTTTTATTTCTGGATTCTGGTTCTTCTATTAATAGAGCTACAAAAATGTCTAAGGGCATTTCTCCATAAAGCAGAAAATAGTATTTTTTTAAAAGGGCCAAGTCATGTTCTCCCATGCCTGATTCTCCCCTTCTCCATATTGATAAAATGGTCCGTGCTTGGGGCCCTCAGCTGACCTCTTTCTAATTCAATCCCTGGGGTTTATCATTTGAATTTTGCAGCATCACCACCATCATCAAAGAATCTAGTCATGAATAAAAGCATTGTATTGCAACTCCACAGCACACTGTACCATTTCCTGCATTGCACTGGGCTTACCAGTTACACTGACTTATTATTCCACTGTTAACACATCATCTAGGGAAGGAAAAATAAATTTTGAAAAACTTGCCAGAACTATTCCAGGTGATGGTATAGCAAAGTAGTGAG